TGTGTGTGTGTGTGTGTGTGTGTGTGTGTGTGTGTGTGTGTGTGTGTGTGTGTGTATGTATGTATATATATAAATAAAGTGGGAAGCCTGGGTTAGCTGGGCAGAAGCTTTGCCGTTCAGGAACCGCACTGTGCCATGGAATGTAAAAGGAAGAATGAAGTCCTGTGACCCAGAAACTGCCTCGCTCTGGCCCTGTCTCTCTTCCTTGGGAGGGAGCAGTTGGTCTAATGGAGCTGGAGGTCAGGGTGCATCTAGGCGAACACTTGGTTTGACCCACCTAGTACGGAACAGAGTCCCACCGTCTTTCTGGACCCAGGTGGCAGTAGAAGCACCTGGTCCCGAGAGCCAGCTGCCCAGCCAGGTGTTACTATCCTGCAGAAGTCACCTGTTTGCTGTTCTGTTGTCACTTCATGGAGGCTCATTCTGGACCAGTGGCCTTTCCAGGGCCCAGAGGCTGAGCCTGCATTGGAGGCAGCGGTGGCAGTCGTGGTTTGAAGCGAGCACCGCTTCTCCTTGCTTTGCACGGAGGAGTTGTGAACGTGACCCATGGGAGTAGCGTGCACCCAAGTCCTAGTGGGCCCTCTGCTGTCCAGGTGACAGCTCTCAGCTACTGGAGTTTTAAAAAGGCCCGTGAAATCCCGCTGATCTGCTGGACTTCTTATAGAGCGTAAGAAAGCACGGAAAACTTTTACTTTCTGGTTGCTGAAATCCAGTTCTGGCTCCATAGGTGGGGACCACTGCTGCTTTAATAAGCTCTTTCTGAACACCCCTTATCTCCTGCATGCCCTCAACAGGGCCACTTAGCCCTCCAGGGCCCACGCACTTTCCTCCGGCGTAACATTAGTAGAGGGTTGCAGGACTTTGCCTTTCAGGCACAGAAACCCCAAGCTAACCTGGTAGGCTGGCACAGGGCTTGCTGTAGCTCCCTGCTTCTGTGGCCCCTCCCCCAGTCCTGCCTCCCACACGTGGTAATTAAGCTCACAACATCTAGTATAAGCAAATAATAACAAGGGCATTATCTCCTGTAAGTTTGTGTTTTTCCCTGCCTATCATAAAGCAATTAAAATAATGAATGCCTTGTAAAACAATAGGTAAGAGGGTTGGAGGAATAGCATGCTATGCACTGTGTACCTCTTATGCTGTGAATTATAGATGCATTAAAACCATGGTGGTTGCAGGGAACTCCTGCCTCTGGGCCTTTTCCATGCTGAAAAGTGTCTGTCCTTTGAGACAGCAGGCTCAAGCAGCAGGAAATTGGCCCTCCTGGTGGCCAGAGCCCAGTTGTCTGGTGTTATGTGTAGCGCAGTTGATAGTGTGCTTGCCTAACATGCTCTAAGTCCTGAGGTTGATTTCTAGTCTGACATGAACTGGAAGTGGTAATATATGCCTCTAATCTCAGTACTTAGGTGGTAGGGGCAGGGGAGCTCGGAAGTTCAAGGTCATCCTTGTCTACAGATCTAGTTTGAGGCACTTGAACCTACTCAAGAAAGACCCTGTCTCAAAAACAGCCAAATAGAAGCAAACACAAGAATGCTGTTTTGAAAGTCTGTCTTCCTCTCAGCCCTCACCATTCACGGGCCAGTTCTGAAAGTAGCAGGTGGTGTTGGCTGAAGATTCCAGGAACGTGCTGGAGTTAATGTCTGTGGTCTGTTTTGGATGGACAAGGCCCATGGTTCCCTAGGTTGACCTCAGGTGTTGACCACCAGATAAAACTGCAGATTCTAGAGTGGATCTGACACCCTGAGTAACTTAATGTACCTTGTGCTTTGATTTGGGTGCTGGCTCAAGACTGAACCACCGCATTCAGAGTCAGTGTCGGATGTGAGGCAGGGGTAGGCCTTCTGGACTCAGTAGCTGAGTCTGCTACGTGCCATTGGGCACTGTTTAATTCCAGGGAGCAAGCAATATTTCCCCCATCTCACAGGGTAGTCCCTGAAGTTGAGACAGGGCTAGATTTCAGTGTTGAATATGCACCTTGGTTACCATGGCTGTGAAGGATCACACCCTATCTTTCTGGAGACCCACCCCTTGATCTCAGCACCAGGACCAGAGCTAGCAAGCCAGTGAGACTAGCCTAGTAGTTTTAAAAGGCAGATGTCACACAAATCAGCAGATGGTCTGAGGCCTCCCCCTCCTAGGCTCCCACTGTGGTTGTTCCAGCTCCTGCAGCTTAAAACACTGGGGAGTAAAATATCATGGGCATTCAGTGCTACAGCCCAGCTTCTCAACCCTACTCTATCTGAACCAGAGTTGGCCAGTGAGAGAGGAGTAGGCTTTGGGAACCTCTGCAAACCCACTCGTCCAGTCTTCCCACTTCCCTGTTCTCACTGGACCCACCCTTCTCCTTGCAGGGGGTTTCCACCTCTGATTTCATTCCCACTTCCCAGTCTCACTTTAGGCCAAAGCAAACCATCCCCATTGTTTTTCTCTTTGAAAATTAATACCAGGATTATAAATGATGAATATAATTTACTGACATCTTATTCCATCTCCATCTGCACTAATAATCTCAGTGGTTGTTTGAGTACGGGTTTAGTTAAATTTGATTTAGATGAATGATGAGTCTTCATTGTATGTAAAAGCCATGCATTTTTGGACATCTTTATAAATATATTTGTTTATCTAAAATTCAAATTTGACGGAGAAGCCTATATTTTATCTGGTATCCGAAACCCAGGTTTTGGATGTAACAAATACTCAGATTTCTTTGTATCCATTCATTCAAAGTTTTGATTGCTTTTTTTGTTGTAGTGTTTGGTTTGTGTGTTTGGACTCCGTGGCCCAGGCTGGATTTAAACTTGTGGACAATCCTCTTGCCTCAGCCTCCTGAGATTTTAGGTGTGTACCACCATGCCTAGCTTCATTAATGTTTATTGTACAGCTTTGTGCTTAAGACCGTGTTAGGTATGGGAGCTGACAGCGGTGTTGGATTAGGGGGTGGTAAATGAAATAAGTGAGTGAATTATAGAGTATATGAGAGGGTTTAGGTGTTATGGGAAACAATAAAGCAAAACAGTTGGCATGACGTTTTCAGAGGGTAGTGAGAAAGACTTTATTGGGAAGTGGGGAGTTCATGAGTGAAAACCTAAGGAGACAGATGCTCCCATCCTGGCCTCGGGGCACATTGTGTGCAAAGGTGTATCAATGACAGCTTCATGTGGGGTCTGAATATCTGAGGCCTTCTTTCTTCAAGCGTATTTCAAGTTCTGAAGGGGGAATTTATTATCTCTTGTAACTCAGGGATCTGGACTGTAGGCACAGCTGGACCCAGGCCTTCAGATGCAGACATTGGTGTTCCATCACAACTTTCCTCCATGCTGTCTTCCTTTTCAGGGATGGATCCCCTCCCCTACCTGTTTCAGCAAATGTACCACGCTTGCGCCATATTGCCTTGGCAGAGATCATCTGCTTGTCCCTGGCCCAAGTGGGTCTTGCCAGGGGTCTTGCCCAAATGCCCGATCCAACAGCTTGTATTGCTAGAACCATTGTGGGCCCATCATGTGTCCCTCTTGAATGCCATAGACAGGAGAAAATAATGGGAAATTAGTGAAGAGAAATGGGGTTGGCACTATGAAGGTGTAATGACCTGTGTGGATACAAGTTTGTGCTGACTGCACCCCCTCTTTAACTGCTCTGTGGCCAAGGGCAGGTTTGTGGTTTTGCCTTTAAAGTGGCCAGAGAAAATGCCAGCATTCTTCCTGTTCAAGAAGTATTCTAAAAGCAAATTTCAAAAAGGATCCTTTGTGTGCCAAAGCATGCCTAGGGGCTCCTTGTCTGTTCACCGTGTTTGAGACAGGATGCCTCTTTTGTTGGTCTCTTTTGTGCATGTTGCCAGACTGGGTGACCTGTGTGCCATGTGTTACTGGAGATCTTTCTGTCTCTGCCTTGCATCTCTGGAAGAGTGTTGGAGTCACGGATGTGCCCAGCTTTTACATAGGTTTGAGGGATTTAAACTCACATCCTCACAGCTGCATGGAAAGTGCTTTAGCCATTAAGCAACCTCCACAGCTTGATTTTTTTTAAAAACCAAACCAAAGAAAATAAAATCCTTAACCATCTCTCCTCCCCTACCTCTGTCTTCAAGTCACGCTCCCTCATCTGGGAACCAACTTCGGGTTCTGATTCTGTATAGGTGGGCATCTTATTTAAATCCGGTTGTTTCCTATTGACTCAACTCTGATTCTCTCTGTTGCCAGGAGGCCCAGAAGATAAATAATGGCTCCAGCCAGGCAGATGGTACCCTCAAACCAGTGGACGAAAAAGAGGAGGTGGTGGCAGCCGAGGTCGGCTGGATGACTTCTGTGAAGGACTGGGCAGGGGTGATGATATCTGCCCAGACACTGACTGGCAGAGTCCTGGTGAGTCCTTGGCCCCTCCCATATGAGGTGGTGGTCTTGCATCTGGGAAAGGGGTTTGCTTGGGAGAAGTGATGATGCTCTGAGTTTTCTCAAGGCCAAGTTGGATGAGTGGCCATGCTCCCCTGAGCTCATGAATCAACTTGGTACTCTTTATACATGTCAAGTCTATCATAGTATGGGGGCGTCTACAGCGAGCGAGTCAGTATTGTGCTTTCACAGCCTGCTTGGGGGGTGAACTGAACAGTCTCTGTCAGTAAAACAGATGTACACATACAATGAACAAAAACGCATGTGCACACAAACACTATACCTATACTGTCTCAGCATAAAGGGTGGAGCATAGTAACACAAACCAGAAATATGTCCAGAGTTTATTAATCCAGGATCTAGGAGTCTCTCTTTCCTAGGGAGAGAGAGAAGGAGGGTGTTGGCCTGTCCAAGCTACTGCTGTCCTCTAACAGTCTGCTTGGGTGCAGGGTCCTCATCTGCACTGTGTCAGCTAGCTCCTGCGGTGCTCAGATGGAGACTGTGAACAGCTCCTGTATGTGCGTGTGTTATAGTATATATGTGGTGAGTGTATTGTAGTGTGTGTGTGTTATAGTATATATGCGGTGAGTGTATTGTAGTGTGTATGTGTGTGTTATAGTATATATGCTGTGAGTGTATTGTAGTGTGTATGTGTGTGTTATAGTATGTATGCGGTGAGTGTATTGTAGTGTGTGTGTGTTATAGTATATATGCGGTAAGTGTATTGTTGTATGTGTGTGTGTGTTATAGTATATATGTGGTGAGTGTATTGTAGTGTGTATGTGTGTGTTATAGTATGTATGTGATGAGTGTATTGTAGTGTGTGTGTGTTATAGTATATATGTGGTGAGTGTATTATAGTGTGTATGTGTGTGTTATAGTATGTATGTGATGAGTGTATTGTAGTGTGTGTGTGTTATAGTATATATGCGGTGAGTGTATTGTTGTATGTGTGTGTGTGTGTTATAGTATATATGCGGTGAGTGTATTGTTGTATGTGTGTGTGTGTGTTATAGTATATATGTGGTGAGTGTATTATAGTGTGTATGTGTGTGTTATAGTATATATGCGGTGAGTGTATTGTAGTGTGTATGTATGTGTTATAGTATATATGTGGTGAGTGTATTGTAGTGTGTGTGTGTTATAGTATATATGCGGTGAGTGTATTGTCGTATGTATATGTGTGTGTCATAGTATATATGTGGTGAGTGTATTATAGTGTGTATGTGTGTGTGTTATAAAATTGTAATGTCTCCATCACTTTTCAGGGGATAGAAGGTTGTAGGAGTTACCAGTGTTTCAGTAGGGAAGAACTGGGGAGGTGGGGACCGTTGTCCTCTCCTGACAGCCCTCTGCCTGCTCTAGGTGGGCTCCTTTCTTATTGCAGCACTGACTGGTGGCTTTCTTGGGCTGCTCCGGGTCAGGAGTTGCCTGATGATGTGTTCAGGTGACTTATCCCAGTGATTCTGGCACATGTTTCGTGCAGCTCACCCTTCATGGGCTTGAAGTGGGGGTTCTGTCAAGAGTAGGGACCTCATCTGTCATTGGATCAAAGATAAAGCTGGGACATGGGGTTTTACACATAGTTCCCCAGAAACTGCTTCTCCAGTGAGGCGGTGAATGCACGTGAAGAAGGTGATGAGAGTCTCACTTGCTCAGATCCTTCCCGGCCGTGTTTGGGATAGATGCCTCACACACTGCTGGAGGGAGGAACTCAAGGGACTAGCCAAATAATCTGGTAGGAGAACAGCACCGTGGGATCCAAGGGTCCTTCTATGAGCTCAGGCCATAAAGTCATGTTGGTGTTAGCTGAAGGCTAAGTTCAGAGAGAGGGAATGGAAGCTAACAAGGTCAGTTGCTACAAGGAAGAAGGCAGGGGGACTGTTGGGTCCTTTGTGACCCAGGAGAGGGTCTGATGGGCACTTGCGGGTGGTTTGCTGCTGGGTGTGGGGACCACTGTCATCCATTTCCTCTTCTCATTCCATAAGGAAGATTTCTGTTGGTCTTTCACATCGGGTTATGAGTAGATTTTGCTCTAGAGACAACTGAGGTTGGGTTCTGGGTCTGGGTATGCTTGTGTGACAAGAGTGAGGTCATGCCTTCCACATACATGGTGGCAGTTCTGTATGGTCATGAGAATGCTTTATGAAAGTCATATTTTCAACTTTGAATGAGTGAGTTTTTAAATATATAGCAAGCTAAAGTATAGGAGAAAATAACATGCAGCGTGTAGATATCAAAAGGCCATCAGACCGGAGTGCAAAGCATCTGACAGATGGACTGGGCAGGTTGAGACACTCAGTTAGATTCCCAAATGGCTGAGCTTCCCATTGCTGAACTCCAGGTTCTCTTCCCCATTGCAGGCACTTTAATACCGTGGGGTGAAGTGTAGTAACATCTACTGGAAGTAGTTTCCCTTTTAGTTGTTCTCAAGAATACCATGATTTTACTCTTGGCATGTTCTACCCTCTTTGTCACAGAGTTTGGGGGCTGGCAGCTTATCCCAGAAGAGGGGTCTTGAGGACACTTTGAGACAAACATGCTTGGGTCTGAGACAGTCCATTCTCAGTGAACTCCTGCAGCACCTGATAGTTTACCAGGAGAACATACATTCCTCCAGCCGTGGCAGACACAGAGTGGCAGCGTTGGTGTGGATGGTATAGCTGCTCCTGTCATCAGAACTAGCTGAGGGGTCCTGACCACCAGCTCTGGGCCAAAGGTTTTGTCTGACGAGGTGGGAAACAAACACAGGCACTGATTGGTGGTAGAGTTCTTGATTAGGCTCTGGGTTCAATGATAAGTACCAAAAAAAAAAAAATAGAAAAAGGGGAAATGTGGTGGTGCCTTCCAGGACTTGGGAGACTGAGGTAGGAGGATCTGGGCTCAAGGAAAGCCTGTATTATGTATCAATATGCTGTTTTAGAAACAAACAAAATCTGACCAGAGGGGAAAGAGGGAATTTCCCTTTTCAAAAGTGAATTAGCATCTTAAAAGCCAAAGGGAGGAAATAATGCCATTAAGGAAAGCAAGCTGTAGGAGCAGAACACAGTGCATTATGGGACTCTGGAGGGTTGTCCAATGAGGCCGAGGGCCAAGAACACCAAGGCTTTGGGCTCAAAGAAAGCCTGGAAAGTTGACTGGAGACAGCTTGTCTCGCCTGAAAATACCAAGCTAACGAATATGGGCAAACTTTGTAGGACAAGGATATATTGAGACTGGGGTGCTAACGTTGGCTGGGAGGGGGCGGCTGCTCAGAAGGGGAAACGAGCTGGGAGACCCTGAGACAACTTAGAGCAGTGAGCTGCTGCTCCAGTGATAGCACTGGACATATAAACAGGTCAAGAGGTCAGGGAGGTTGATATGCCCAATAGTATGCAATTGGGGTCCATAGGGCCAAGCACTCCCCAGACCACTTCCCTACGCCCCATGTACTATTGGTAATATTACGGAGAGCATCCTGTGAGCCCTGCAGGCACTATATCAGCCCTGTTCCTTTGCTTCAGGTGGAAAGGCATGGACCTGGCCATTCTGTTCAGTCCCATATCCTGCATAGCTGTTGGATTGCGGTGTTCCAGTTTCATTCCTGTTGATATGATAAAGCATCCTGACAACTTAGTGGCAAAAGGGTTTAGCTCACAATTTTATATGACAGTTCATCATGTGGGAAACTCTAGGTGGCAGGAACTTGAGGGAGCTAGTCACATCCACAGGTGAGATTAGAGGGACAACGAATGCATCCTGCCCACCTGTTTGCTTCCTTGCACTCAGTTTCTCCTTTTAGGCATTTCAGGAACCTCTGCCTAGGGAATGGTGTTGCCCACAGTGGGCAGGTCTTCCCACATCATTTAGTGAAGACAACCCCCCTGCCTCACAGACATATCCACATGCCAAATCAAAGTAGACAGTCCTTCACTGACACTCTGCCCATGTGATTCGATGTTGCATCAAGTTGATAATTAAAACCAATCATCACACTGGCTCTCATCACAAGGAAGACAGCTAATCTTACCAAAGAATCCATCTCTCCATCACCCTGAGCAAAATCAAGCCTCAAGGAAGGATTTTGCTTGGAAGACAGAAAGCAAAGCAGCTGTCAGTGGCAGCTGGGTAGCCACGTGGACTCTAGACACTCAACTTAGTGTTCCTTCTGGATCATGACTGCCCACGTAAGGACAGTGCCTTTTCTACGTCACTACCAGATGTTGCTCTGGCTGTGACAATCTAACATTACTGTTTTAGAGTGAACTAGGTCTGAGGACCCGAGTCCCGATCCCCTTAACTTTCACAGGTAGAAGCAGGTTCAGCCTAAGCCTTTTTGCCTAGGGCTGCCTATGGTGTCAGTTGGTCTCCTTAGAGAAAGTCCTGCCATGGTGCTGGGTCCCCTTGAAGTGAGGGATCTCTCCTCTAGCACAGAGCAGTGTCTAAGAGTTCTTTGAGCCTGGCTCTGCGCAGAACACAGATTTTACGCTGAAATAGCAGCACACAGGACAAAGCTGCCGTTCCTGTTTTGAGTCCAAAGCTGTGTTTGTCTTGAGCTATCCAGATGTTTATCCCTGCAACAGTGGGACCAAACTAATACTAGACACCAGCTGTTGAGTTTTCTTTTTCAATTTTCAATCTATTTCACTTGATGCATGCTCAGGAGCTTGGCCTCTACATCTGAACCTCTTTCTCACATGTCTGGTGAAACTCCTAAGACTGGAATGTGATGGGTGAGGTTCAGTTGGCAAAGGATTGGCTAAGTAGCCCAGATTATCTATAACATCTGACCTCAATGGCAAAGCATCACGTTTGATAAATGGTAATTTCTTACCAGCTCTGGCTATGTACGACATACAGGCATAAAACAACGAGTAAGAAAACCCCAAGTGTGAGTTACTCGTACTGTTGGATTAGGTGTGTAATTGTATAGTTCCATCCCTGTCACAAGTGGCAGGTGGTCAGCACCATTTACCATGGGCCTCAGCACCAAA